TACATAGATTATATATACGAAAGATAAATAGAAAAAAGTGAATTTTGAATGAAATATTTTAATCAAATGCAATTGACATGAAAGTTGTTACCAATATAAAAATTAAAATTTTTGCTGAAATATTGTTATTGTATGAATAGACGGACATATTGTAAAAATATATACATATCAGTGAATTATATATGTATATACAATTTTTATAATTATAATACATACATACAATTAATTTAAATTTTTTTTTTCGAAATTTGTACTCCAAAAATTTTTCAAATTTAATAAAAATTTATTTGTGTTACAAAAAAATTCATATATTTTAACTTTATTTCAAAAAAAAAGTTTAAATTGTTCAATAGAGATATATTTCAAATCATTTTTGAAACAAAAATTATTTGAAATATATTCACTTATTATTGATATATTTATTAAACAATATCAATAATAAGTGACTAGAACGGAAAATACAGTAAAGTCCGGTTGTTATCACATCAAAAAATGCACAGAATTTAATGACATTAACTGAGTTGTCAGATAAAAAATAAGATCAATTTAATATCACAATTAAACTTTATGAACTTTTTGAAATCTACTACACACAACATAAATTGACATTTACTTAATTAAATTTGACAATAGATTAAAATTGAGATTATATGAAAAACAAAATTATAAGTGAAATTTTTTATGTTCCATCTATTGACAAATTTTTCTGTGTTGACTGACTTACGATATTTATACTATTAGTATATAGTAGATAAATTTTGTTCATTTTTAATTTAATACAATTTTTGGTAAATGAGTTTTGAAACAATTTACTACCTTAAATGAAATTAAAAGTGGTTCCATTATTTTATTACAAATACAATAGAAATTTTTGTGTCACGACATTTAAATTAAAATAAACGGGTGATGCTATCCGATGTGATTTTAAGCGGATTCCACTGTATATAACCTTTTTAAATGAACTTTTTTTGCATTTGTCAAATTTTGCAAATTTCTCGAATTTTACGCAAATAATATAAAAAAATATACTGTTCCGTTATACTGTACTGTATAACAGATCAATCCTTTAATTTCCATTATATAGTTCATGAATTTACAAATTACATCATTTAAATTTTATACATATATTGGAACTATAGCCGTATATATATGTGATTTGATAAAAAATCTTTAATAACAAAAAAACATATTAATACAATCACTATTTATTATCAGTATATTTAATTAGTTAATCACTATTTAGATAAGATTATAGTTATCTTTGGATAACTTGTGACAATTTCATAAGGAATATAAAAAAAAAAAAGCTTCGAGTTCACATATACTGCAGGGTTGTTGAAAGTCTTAAAAGAATTGTTTTTTTTTTTTAATAAAATAATAAATAAAATTTAAATAAATGTCGGAATTTATCTCCTTACGTAATCATCTTACCTTAAGAAAGTCGTTAAAATTCGTGATATTATAAAAAAAATGCATAATTTGTCGTAAAGTCATTCTATGATTTATTTGTTATATGTATAACATTATTTTTAATATGTAGGTGTGTGCATAATATTATTGAAGCGCTATTAATTTTATTAAAGAATATACATGAGCACAAAAATTTTGGCCCTATTACAATTTGAACTGAATTTTCCACAAAGAAGATTTGTAAATTATGCTACACTTATAAGTACAGTATATGTACATGAAAAATATTTTAGATTAAACCAAGCTCAATTTCACATAAAAACTATATGTATATTTAACTCTTTCTCTCAGAAAACTTCGAAAAAAAAATAGTGGAAACTTGTTGACTTAAGATATTTATACTCGTAACAGTATTGTATATAAACCCTCACATATTCAAATATATATGGTTAATTTCTCTAGACAATAAATAAAGTCAATTTTATCAAATAAAGAAAACTTTCAAAATTTTTTACTTTAAAAATTAATGTTTCAAAGAGGCGCATAAATCCTAACAGCACAATGAAACAAAATGAAAATTATTTCAGAAAAATGGACTAATTAAGAAAATTAAGAAAATTAATTAGAAAAATTAAAATAAAACAAAAACAGCATAAATGTTTGATGCAAAGAACTTTAAAAAATGAGAAAATAGAAAATTTTTTTAAAACTCTCAAAATAAGTTAAAATTTTTGGTCTTTGAAATATTTATTTTAAACTGAGCTTAAAGACTTAAAAAGAAAATCGTTTCCGAAAAGAAAAATACAATTCCAATATTAAATGTCATCGCATTCATATGTATATTTATAGATGGCACTACTAGTTTTTTTTGACAAACAATCAATAATGCATATAGTATGCAAAATAAATTAAATATGTACTAGTGTAACAGTGAGTAGCAATAAGAAAAAACCAAAAATTTTTAAATGACAAATTTATTAAAAAATATGTTTTAATTTTAATTATAAGACACTTATTTCAAACCTTCTTGGAATATTCAAATTTTTATCAACAATTTCTTTAAGCCAAATATAGCGGTGTTTGTTTGATTAGCACAAAATCTCGATTCTAAATCAAATTTAATTTACACATTGATTGTACAGAAAATGAATTGCAATTTGCTTTAACTGTCTATATAGAATAATTGAAGTGAAAAAATATTCATGTATTTTTAGAAAAAAAAATTAAATAATAAAATAATATATTACAAATATGTGTATAAAAGTGTATGTATGTATAAAAGTAAATAAATATTAGAAAGTGAGAGTCCTTGTTTTTTTTTTATTCTTATATTCTTGCTAAATTTTACCATAGGAACTCTCAAATATTCTAGAGTTAATTTCATAGCAACACCCTAGGTATATGATAAGATTTTACTTTTTGTTTTTGTTTTTTTGTCCCCAAAATATATATATATATATATACAAACATTTTTACCTTATACAAATTTATGAAACCATTTGATGAGCTTTTTTTTTTGCCAAAAGTTGTAAAAAACATCAAAAACCATTATGAAAAAAAAAATTTTTTTTTAATAATAAAAATTATACACATGTATATTTGTACGTATATTTGTGTACTATACATATTTACAAAGCGATGAACTTAATATTTGTATACATACATTATGTTTGTACACTTTATTTTCATTTCAAAAATGTATTTAATTTAATTTTTTTTTTTTAAATACAAAAATTTTCTTATTATTTAAAATATTTTGTTGAGATTTAAAAGTGCCCTAAATTTCAAGTATATACCCCCAAGTGCTCTATGTATATGTATAAGCAAAATCAATTCTTAAAATTTTTAATTTTATTTGATGTTTTACATTTTTTGTAAGTATACACGCATGTATTCATCTGATTATTTGATCCTTCCGGAAGCAATAGAAAACTAAAGAATTTTCTTGAAAATTGTCAATTTTATTTACTGTCTTAATTATTTTAAAACAAAAAATATTTTAATTTGTAAATAAAAAAATAAATAATTTTCTTTAAATTTGATGAAAATTTTGTTCACATTCTTTAATTAAATATTTCTTTTATTTTAATTTTGATGTTGGAAAATAATGAAAATTTTATTTATAATGATGATTTGATTAGTAAATATTTACTTGTCAAAGGTATTTTCAAATGTGTCCAACCAGATGGCATGATGTGTAATTTTAAAAGTCTATACCAGTGATGAGCAACCAGGATTCGACTGATGTTTTTTTGCGACTTAAAAAAAAATTAAGTTTGTTTCACTTACTCACTTATTTACTTATTGATTTCCCAAAGACAATATTTTTTTTTGGTTAAATGTTGGCTTTTCGCAGTATGCTTAATGCGTACTCAGATCTTTTGCACGCCGTTTTGTTTTAAAACAGTCTAAAAAATTTAATTCAATATACATACATACATATCTATTTCTTATACGAACTTTTAACTTTAGCATGGTTTGAATCGGTTAATTTTCATCAATACAAAAAAATAATAAAATAAGTTTGATAAAATTTTAAAAAATTAAAAAACCACGCTTATATAATGCTCAGCAAGCCGAGCCGCCCTCAAACTCCACATTATAGCTTTTACTTATTACTGAAACTTATATTACTTAAACTTACTTATTACTGAAACTAGAAAATAAATCTGCTATAACTGCGGCCCGGAAAACGATTGCTTTTTCTCATTTAACCCAATTTAAAAAAAGGTTGCTTATCACTGGTCCGTTGTTTCATTTTTCATAAGAAAAACAATTTTGTTAAATTAGGCTCATGTAATATTAATAATTTAGTTTTTTTTTCGAAATTAAAGATATTTGTATACGCTCTTGGTTGTCCTTCAAGATTGAAGTTTAGCTGTACTAAAATAGAATTTGAATTAAAACTGTATTGTCTATCTCAAATCTGCAGTAAGGCAAGTCAATACAACACAGGGTGGCCTCCGATATGCAGTAGTCCAATTGTATATTTATTACCTGTCTTATTCTCCAAAATAAAACGCTTTGATTGAGTACTTAATTTGAGCTATATTTTATTCATAACCTATACTTTCTATTATTATATTAATTAGAAAAAATTAATTATGATAAATTTACTTTTACGTTAATTGTAAAAAATGAATTGTGTTAAATAGAAAAATCTGCAAACTATGCAAGTTGTGTACTTAAGTTGTGTATTAAGCTTTTGATATTACGCGCTATATGAATACAATAATTAACGCATATGAGAGAATACGATACTTTTTTTTGACCCACATTATTACGGAAATTTCAAAAATAACATTTAAAGTATATAATGACAATGACTAATAATTAATGATTTCTAATGCAATTAATTTTTATTCTAACTGAAATAAAAAGTCTACCAGTTTACTGGAATTGTTTCATATTTCAAATTCCATTCATGGCTAGAAAAATTTCAAATTGACAAAATATTGACATTTGAAAGTTTTCTAAGCTAACTAGGGTATTTAAAATTTTTTGAAAAACATTTTAATCATAATATTTTATATTAAATTGATTATTTTTTTAATTGTTTATTTTTTCTTTCTTTCACATGAACATCGCAGGATAAAAAAAAAATAATTTTACATGATAAATAAAAAATTAAAAGAAAATGGCCGCAAGGATAGCTACAGCTAGAAATTTAATAGCTATAACAAATGGAACTATCAAAAAAGACAATGAAAAATCACATAATTTAAATAACAACAGTATCAACAATAGCAATAATCAAAATAATAATAGTAATAACAGTAATAATAATAATAACAATAATAATAATCATGAGAATAGAGAGACTAGTCAAATTGTTCCAATTGCAATTGCAGCAACAGTCGATCCACTTGCGGAACATGTTGCAACTGCAAATGGTATTACTATTAGTGAGGTGATAACTCCAGTAAGTAATTTTAAATAAAAATATTTTTAAAAACATTTTATATTTACTCTTTAAGGTAGACGAAATAAAGCTAAATAGCAATTTATTTAGTTTGAAATTTGGAAAATGTGATTAAAGCGGTGTGTGTTATACTAAAATTATTATTCTCTCACAATTATTACCGTTTTGCATAAGTTTAGGATGAACAATGAAACCAAAAATTGGAAAGAAAATTAATATGCACAAAATTTTAATGGTGTCATTAAAAATTTTCAAGAAAATTCATACCAAATTTTGTGAATTTGACAAAAAGTCTTGCTTCTTAGAGCAATGAATGTTTTAAGATTCAATATTATTTGAGATTGAAAAGTTCAGAATTCATATGTTTTTCTACCATAGTGCTTACAGTTAAATTTTTCCGCCTTGAAGTCATTTTACTGGTATTATTTAAAATAAAAAACAACTTTTCTCGTATAAATTCCATAAGATCACATTAAACCTTACATTGAATCTTAAAAATTTCATATAGGAGTTAACAAAATATATTAGTACATCGTATTTGATTCAAATGAGAAATTAATTCACGTGCTTTTTTTTTTTAATTAAAAATATTATCCATTAATTTAGTTCTTAGTTCTTCACCATAATGGTGAACCGTATTGCTTTCTCTGTTTCAACATATTCTAAATTTTTTTTTAATAGTCATTATTTAAAATAGGCATTAATTAAAATAACAGTAATGAAATATATTTGTTATTTCTAGAAAAAAATTATTTTACAAACAAATAAAATCGATGATGGAGGTGTAGCTGTTATCGATGTTGTCCCTATTGAAGCATCCGATTCAAGTAATGAAGAAACTGTTACAACATTAAAAACTTCACCAGATCATGAATCATTGGCATCACAACTAAGTGCACAGGTAGCTGTTGTACAACACTCTGATGGCAATGAAAGTCCTCAATATATTACAGTAACGGGTAAGTCAATAATTTTTTTTCAGTCTTATTATTTAAAAAGATGTTGTTTTGTTTACATGGCCGTTGACCGGTAAGTTGGCTGCTCCTCAATTAGCACAAAAGTGCCATTTTGCTTTTATCACTCTGTATGAGAATCAGTAACAATACGTTTTTATTAAATGCTTTTGCTTATTGAAATAAAGATTATTGCGTGCCTGGGCTATTCTACTTTTTGTTTACTATAAAATGGAAGCTATTAATTTTTTCGAAAATTTTAAGGATCATTCTAAATTTAAACTTATTTAGAATCTATAATCTTAATTATAGTAAATTTACATTGAAAAATTGAAAAGATATAAATTGTGGTTACATTAAAACCGAACAAGAATAACCAATTCTTATATTTTTAATGATTAAGATCAAGAAATCTATTTTTATCTACAAGTCTTTTAAATGAAATTGTTTTAAAAATTTAATTTTTTCATAATTTTTTCATAATTATTTCATAGTTTTTTAGAAATTAAATCCAATTTGTATACCTAATTACAAAATTGTACATTTCTTTTTCAAAAATTTTACTTTCCCTCACAATTATGTGTATTTAGATATGGAACTTTTAATTTTACAAATATTTTTCTTTAACAATTCAAAATATAATAATTAAACATGATTATCCTATAAATACCTCTAAATATAATTGTCCATTATATCGGAAAATTTTTATTTACTTACTATAAAAAAGGAAAAGAACCTTTTTTATATACTCAAATACACTTGCAGTGATTCATGATTCCCTCTTAATATTCCGATTTTTTTTTTTTTGTTCATCTTTTATTGTATATATCATTCATTTAAATAGTCCTTAGAGTCCTTTTAAAATATTGTGTATTATGAAATCATTGAATGCTTGGTGCGTACAGGGTGTATATACACACAGAAACAAGAAAAACTGGAAATATATTTAATAGAGTTCTTTATACATAATAATCATGATGCATATGTTCAGTTTATTGCAGCGCATTGGTATATTGAAGCATAGTATTTTTGATGTAAATATTCGCTGATTCGGTTTACATGAAATTTTATGTCGTAAATATGATATCTCGTGAAGTGACAGATAATGTATGTATTTTTCATATCCTTCTTGTTAAACCTCAAAATGAAAACTGTCACATGATTACCGCATTCATATTTTTCGTTCTAAATAGTTTACGAAGAGCTTTAAGCATCTAAAAGCAAAATTGGTTCAGTTAAAAATCATTTTTTATCAACTGAATCATTGATGAATCCACTGAATGAACAAATCCGTTTTGTATTATATATAAGGTACATTAATCCGTTCATTTGAGCATATTTTCAAGCTGTTTCCTAAAACACTCTGTATTTGTCTTGTATATTTAAAAATATATCAATATAAATTTTAAATATATTGTATTTTTAATAAAAATTTTTTTTTTATTTTTTATTTTTAATACATACCTGTCTTCAGAACGTCAATTTAATACCTATGAAACATATGAAAATTTCATTTTTATTAAGTGTGCTGTATATTTTATATTATTAAATTGAACTTTCAAGCGGAAAAATATTGTTCGTTTATAATGAATTTATATGGAATCAACAAACAAAACCATTAGTGCAAACATCAATATGATAATACAACACATGTACTGTACATATATGTATGTATCTTTATTTCAAAATACAAAATAGATACATGCAATAGATATGAGTATTTAATTGAGAAAAGATTGACAAATAAATTGTTCATTCAATCATAAGATATTTAATAAGAAAATTTAAGGTGATTTAAGGTGATATGAAGTGCTATAAATTTATGGGAACAATTTTTAGAAATATTTTTATTAATATATTGCATTGCATTAGTAATATATCTATTAATTTTATAAAAGTTAATTGCTAGTATTTTATTTTAAATTGTTATACATATACCAGTTTCAGTTTTAAGTGTTCGATTAATTTTTGAAATTAATTTTGATATCTTCAATTGTTTCCACCTATGTTACTTCCTTAGAATTTTGTAAGTTTTGCTCAATTTTAACAAAATTGTGTTGAAACCAGGATAATTTTTGAAGGGCGGCTAATTGTTACAAATCCTCTTTTATCCTAAAATCTAACATATCATATAATAATCCAAAATAATTTTAATTATGTCTATATATTTATTAACCATTGTGCCTATCTTTCGTTCTTAATAAGAAACATAAGATGTTTCTTAAAGATGAAGTAATGCCTTCTTATACCGTTTAAAATTGTATTACCCCTTTTATTGTAAAAAGTTAATAAATTTTTAATGTCTACTGTCTAAGCTCATAAGTCTATCAGCAGAAAAAATTATTTCTATCGCCTCCGAATAAAAATCAAATACTATTATAAAGAAAACTATTGATTGTCAAATATTCCTTTTTGTCGCAGCAAATTCTGCAGCTATATCATTAATCTTTCGGCCGATTCTTTCTCATATCATATCAAATTGTATAGGTCTTTTCATTAGCGTAGTATATTAAATGAACAGCAATAACAGGTGGGCTGAAAAGTCCGTATCGTTTCAATGAAAAAATATTTTTTTTGACAAATTTCGCTTTTATTATTCAACATAGTTGCCTTCAAGAGCGATACAGCGATTATAACGGTCTTCAAATTTTTCGATACCATTCCGGTAGTAATCCTTCGGCTTGTCCTCAAAATAGGCTTCAGTTTCGGCGATGATTTCTTCATTGGTGTGAAATTTTTTTCCAGCGAGCATTCTCTTAAGGTCCGAGAAGAGGAAAAAGTCGCTTGGGGCAAGGTCCGGAGAATACGGTGGATGGGGGAGCAAATCGAAGCAAATCGAAATTTTTTTTTTGTATTATGAATGGAAAAAATTTTAATTAATAATATTTATCAAGAAATAAATAAAATTTATGTCATAATAATATAAAATATTTATACGTATATTTATATTATGTTTTTATTATTATTATTATTATTATTATGAGCATCGGTCGCTACCACCCCCCAAGGATCAATTCTTATATACGGTTATATACGCTGTCAATGCTATTTATCTTTGAATTTTTTGATTTTTCATCAAAAAAAAATACGAAAAATGTGAAAATATGAAAAACTATTTTGTTACAATAACTTGGGATTAAAATGAGAAAAATTTTCAATTTTATTTTTTTTTTTATTTTTGTTTGTTTCCTATATAAATGAATACCTGTTTTAAAAAGATCCGTACACGTGCTGACATAAGTATGTATAAATATATAAAAAACACACAATTTCTTTATACTTTTTATATTTGACTCGCTTACATGTTTACCTATATATCTATATATATTATGATGAAAACACAAAATTTAAATCGGAAAACAAGGTGTTCTACACGTTGTTATAATTGTAATTTTGTAATTACGCTTGATTTATCTTTAGCGTATAAATTAATTTAATAAAAGAATATATATATATATATATATATATATATAATATAACATTTTTATAACAATATAAAACGATATTTAAGGTACAAAAGGAGAGGGGTGATGTTATTATTTTTACCGCTACTTTATATTTTGTATTTTTAGGAAATTTTCTATTTTACTACAATAGGTACATACTTTTTTTCCCTAAGTACACTTTTTCACCTTTTTGCTTATATCCATTTCAAGAGATTCATTATTTTATTAAAAGTATTTATTTCAATTATTATGATTAAAATAAGATTATAAAATTCTTGTATTTCTTTTGTAGTTTTCGTTTCAAAATTGAAATATTGAAAATAATAGTAAAATAAAATTTTAATGAAGGGTTCATGACTCGCAATTTTCGCAAATCAAAATTGAAAATTTTTTGTTCAGATTATTTTTAGAAAAAATTTATCAAAATACAACAATTAATTTAAAAAAAGAAGATGCTTTCTTCTTAGTCGCATACTTACTGGTAATAGATAAAAAAAAAAGATATCCTTTATGGTTTAAATTCATGAAACACATGCTTTTCTCCTAATTATATGAACAATAAAAGTGATATGAAAGTCGTCAATTACTTGAAAATATTTTTTAACCCAACTTATCGGTACTTCAAGTTTTATATTTCAGGTTTTAACTTTTAATGAAATTAAAATCAAAATTTTAATAATTTAAAAGTTTTGACAAGCACAACTATAAAGATGTGAAAGTATTTATTTTGGTTATTTGCCAAAATAATTGTCAATTTGTGTTTACGGAATTGGGTACATTTTTGATATAATAAAATTTTTGTTTGAAATTTTTATAATTTCGAATTTAAATGACTTTTACAACAAACTGATGATTTGGTCTTACATTCTGATCTCAATAATTAGCTCGATTTAAATTTAATTTAACTAACTACGGTGTAAAAGCCAAAATGAACTGAAAGTATCACAGGATCGTATATGAATAAAATTGAAAATTCTAACTAAAAAATTTGAAACTTAAAATTAAACTTAATATTTTTTTGAAAATCCATGAATCCATGAAAGAAACACAAGTTACAATTATTGTTAACAATTAAACGAATATAACAATCCAAATGGACGCGAAATACTTCATGCTACACAAACCTATAAAAAGAAGTTATTGAAACAAGTTAAGTTACACACTAAATTGCAGTGGATGCATTTATACTCGTATTGTGTTATAGAAATTAAAAGTGGTATCTCTAATATAGTTTTTGACGTCTGTGTAACATAGAATTTCTATACGAAAAAATATTCTATTTGCGAAGTAATCGCCCAACTATTTACTCCCTGAGAATTGTTCTGAACGTCATATATGCTGAAAAGGACATCACTTACTAAAATTGGTGCAAAACTTTAAAAAATAAATTATACAATAATTTAAGATCATGTAACAAAATAAAAATTTATTTGATATTATATAAATGTATATATGTATACGCAGTCTAACCATTAAATCAAGAGTTCGTCCGGATGGCAACAATAAAATTTCAATATTCCGAATTTATAAAGCTCTTTGAATACTCTAAAATAATTAAAT